CCTGTGCTTCTGACCCAAAGGTTGACTGTTTGAATCCACCCTGAGGTGCCTTGGCAGAGAGATCGGGCCACCTGCTTCCGCATGGTCACAACCCTGAAAGCACGGAGAAGCACAGTTCAACTCAGACATACATGGGATTGCCATGAGCCGGGGTTAATTACACAACTGCATTTTTAATGGTTTTTTGGTATGGCTTTTGTGGGTTAAGAAAAGCGGGGTGGGGGTGGGGGGATCACTCAGGGGCTTACACAAAGCAGGTGTGTTTTTCACTCACACTGCCAGGCTGGTGTGGATTGGAGCCAGGCGGCTGCAGCCAGCACCATCTGGAGTGTCGCTGTGCCGTGGCAAAGCGGGCCGTGCGAGGAATCCCGCACCTGCTGTGCATGCAGGCCTGACATGCATTGCTTCTCCCCTTCCAGTGGCCGCTGCAGGCCCATGGCCATATGTCATGTGGGGGAGGGCCAGGGAACTGTACTCCGCCTGCGCCCAGAACGAGAACTAATCAGAGCCCTCCCCAGGGATTGATCGCTAAATCCAAATTCTGTTTGTGCCCTGGCATGCCTTCTGACTCACAGCCACTTGTAGCTGACAGAGCACCACTGCCCCATCAGGTTTCCTAGGCTGGAATCCAGCACCGGATCTTTTCTCCAGTGGAGCAACTAACGCTTGGCTTCAGACAACTTGCCTTTTGTTTAGCAGCAGAGACCTTAACCTTGCACCCTAATGTAAAATGTCTCCTGGTTCATCGTGTCTCCTGGTTCTGCCCCTGATCCTCCTACCTGATTGAGGCCGCATGATCTGTTTGGATAGTTCTGGAAATTCCGCTGCTTTGTGGTCAGACATAATCCATCTCAGCTGGCTGCCCATTTTTAGACCAGGCACATCCTGTTGGCGTGCTGGGGTACAGGTTGGGCTCCTCACTGCAAGATCACCAGTTTGAAACCATCAGCCATGTCGAAGGCGAGAGGTGAGGCTTGCTGTTCCCTTAAGGATTTATAGCTTTGAAAACCCAAAGGGAGAACTTCTCCTCTGCCCTGTGGGGCTGTGAATCGAAATTGACTGAGAGTAGTGGGTTTGGGGCTTGGCTTGCACTTTTAAAATTTGTTCCAAAAGTTTACGCTTCAGCAGTTCGAAACCACCAATCTGCTCACCACCTATCAATTCGTTTGAAATCACCAGCCGCTTGGAGGGAGAAAGACAAGGCTTTCTAATCCCATGCAGTTACCGGCTCGGAAGCTCACAGGGGCTGTTCTGCTTGGTCCTGTAAGATCTCTAGGAGTCGGAATTGACTGGCAATGCGTATGGGGTTCGGGTTTGGTACCCGTGGCCTTTCACGGATTGTGGACTTGGAAAGGTGAGTCGGGTCTGGCGAGCTCAAAGAACGCTTTCAAAGAGGGCAGCCACCTTGGCTCAGTCAATTGCCAAGTGACATTCAAAGAACACTGCGTCGTAGGCAGGAAGCTGTACACTCCAGTGTGCCCGGCCCCTCACAGTTTGTGCACGTTGTTCCAGTGTCCTTATATAATAGAACCTTCCTAAAGAGCCCCGGCTGGCACAAACGGTTAAGGTACTGGTTGCTAACTGAAAGGGTGGCAGCCCTAAATTCACCCAGAAGCACCTTGGAAGAAAGGCCTGGTGACCTGCTTCTGAAAAATCAGCCACTGAGAGGCCTGTGGAGCGCAGCTCTGCACTGACACACACACACACACACACACACACACACACACACAGCGGCCACGAGTGGGAATGGACTCGCCGGCAGCTGCCTACGGCTGGGTTTGACTCCAACAATCCTGATCTGAGCAGTCACCCTAGTTGGAGACCAGGGTGGGGGCTGGGGTGGGAGAAACGAATGTGACGGATGGCAAAGGGACACGACTTCAGCAGGATGTGTTGAAGGGAGAATTATCTTAGGAGGGTGGTTTCTCTTTAGGGCTTTCCTTAAAAGACTTTTCTTGGCGTGCTTTCCGAAATGCCTTGCAGACTTTGTTCTGACGCACGGTTCGTCATCAGTTTATTTTGCTCTGACGCAGCGTTCATGGGACCCCGGCGCATCTCGATGGGGCTTGGACCTCATTGACAGTCGGGGGCAGTAGCCTGGTGTGTGTCTGTGCTTCAAGCCTGGGCGGATTGGCTGGGAATGGGGTGGTAAGAACAGGGAGAAGCACATACCGGTAGACCCAACTTCCTGTGCGCCGGCCTTTCAATACGGCATTGCACGGTTTGAAATAGCTCTCAGCTTAGGGCTGGGATCATTTATTCCCTCGGGAATTAAGCAAGAGCACGGGCAGCCACAGGAACTATTTTGGGAAGGAGATGTGGGAGGACTTCTACTGTGTATTCAGACTCTGATGGCGGAGCTCTTCCGTGGAGCCCTTATAAATGGTAACTTGGCCACGTTCGGATGGCCTCAAGTAACGTCATTGTCCAGGCTGGTGTAGATGCCCTCTAGGTTTATCAATAGCTGTCAAGATGGAGTTTAGATGTTTCAAGTCCATCTGCCTAAGCTGAGGAAGGGAACTCGATTTGGAGACTAGCCTGCGATGCAGACGCTAGGACTGGTAAGAAAGGGTGAAATGTAGTCTCTGATGTCTGTCTGCTCCTCACCTCTGCCCCTGCAGATTGTCTTTGGCACCCTCGTTCTCACCTAGACTTTTCTAGGTTGTTGCAGAAGTGCAAAATAAGGCCATCAGGGCTGTTTGTCCGGCCCTCCCCGTAAAGCTGAGGTGGGTAGGGCTTGGCAGCGGGTGGTAGCTGCAGATAGACAACCCCCAGAGTTCCTGGATGGAGAGGGAGCAGAGGAGCACCGGATGAGGATGTGCAGGCATGAGTGCCGCCGTGGGAGAAAACCCCGAGGACAGAACCACAGCTGAAGTCCAGAAGACCCTCAGGCAGTGAAAAGGAGGTGGGGCTCATGGGAATGTACTGCATGGTCCCTTAGGTGAAGCTAGAGTAGTCCTGCTGGTATAGTGGTGACACGCTGGCTGCGATCCTCAGGGTTGACAGTTCAAACCCACCAGCAGCTCCACGGGAGAAAGACTCCCCAAACAATTACAGACTCAGAGATCCGCAAGGGGTGGCAGTGTGTGAGCACTGTCTACGGCAGTGAGTGTGTTAATTTAGTTTTTATTAAGCTAGAACATACTGGGCTTTGGGGGTTACTTTAGAGGCAGACGTAAGTTAGATATACTTTAATGAGTTCTATTTGGGCATTTAATGTATGCGTTGAAGGAAAATCAGGGACTTACATCAGTCAGTTCCTATTCCATGTTCCTATCCCCTCCTAGTTCACGTAATAAGCTACAAACTGCCTTCTGGATTTTGCCTTTACAAATAAGCTCCAATCAGCACTTGTGACTAAAGGGCCCATGAGGGCTCCGTGTTGTAAGCACTAGGTTGCTCACCACAGGCCAGTGGTTTGACTCCTGTACAGATTTAGTCTCAGAAACCTTGTATAGGGTTGCTATGCGTCTGATTGAACTCGGTGGCAGTACGTTTGGTTTGTGGTGTGATTTTTGCGACTGATCGACAGGTTGGGAAGTGTTCTTCTGCAGATGGCTTTTGGATGCTTGTTTTGATGAAGTAGATGTTAATCACAACAAAAGGGGTTGTGTTGGCACAGGGATCAGTGTGCTCGGTGAAGGTGTTGGGGTTCCCCATCCCCAAATAATACTATCTAGGCCAGGGCTGAGGACCCTTTTATCTGCCTATGGCCATTAGGGTAATGATCACATCATTTGCAGGTTGTACTGTTCAAACATTTAATTAACTCACCCCTTAATGTGATGGCAATTGCATAGTGGTTATGCATTGGACTGCTAACTACAAGGTCAGCAGTTCGAAACCACCAGCCGCTCTCTGGGAGAAAGGTGAGGCTTTCTATTCCCGTGAAGAGTTAACAGTCTTGGGAACTCACAGGCTGTCCTGTAGAGCCCCTATGAATCAACATTGACTCAAGGTCAGTGCATACATGGTTGAGTGCATGCAGTGGCTGGAACTGCTTCTCTCTGGCGAGGTTTGTGATAGTAGCTAGCTAGTATCGATCACTTCTTGGGCCATATGTGGCCTGTGGGCTGGCCACTCCCCACCCTTGGCTGGGTGATGGTCAGTTCTATTTCCTGCTATTGGCAACAGCATCATATACATACTTACTGCTAAAACTCCTAAGTCCAACATCTTTTCATTGGGGAACTTGGTGAAATATGTTTGTGGTACCACCATAGATAATCCATACTAAACATTTATTGAATCTATATCTTTTAAATGAGCTATCATTTTTGTTTTCCAGTTGAGGCAATCAAAAGTTTAATGACCTTAGAATCTTGACATATCTGTAGATGACTTTCCATCCTGGATATGTGGTAAATTGTTCTTTATTTCAGAGCTGTTGTATTCTTCCATTTTTCTAATTTTAGTCACTCCTGGGATTGATTAATGGAAAAGGCCTGCATATATCTACCAGGCATAAATAGCTTGAAAAATATTGAAGCTTTTCAAGTCAAAAAGTTGAAACATAGATAGACCTTTACAGCCCCAGGACCGTTGATGTAGCTTCTGGAATTTTTTTTTTTTTTGGGGTATCCAATAGTAGAATAATAAAACATCGATGGGAAAAGACTTTGTTGCAAATGTTAAGTCGACAAGGATTATTTTTTAAATGCTCTATATTGTCAAAGGTAAATAAGCAAAGGGGTGGGGTGGACAGAAAATGGAGATAAGTCAAAATAAACACTGTCGGGTCCAGAGAACTGACACATCAAGAATGGACTTACTGAGCGCGGACGCTGTCAGACGTGGGGGCAAGTTAGGGGGCAGCCCCAATTGAGTCATGGTTTGGAATCGGGCGTCCTTCCCTGGGGTTCTCACCTGGGTCCTTACGTAAGAGAAGGCAGGAAGTCATCCCTGGCTGTGCCTGTGGCTTCTACGTAGCAGGATTATAGGGAGTTGCCTCCATTCCTCCAGCCCGCTGACCTCTGACCTCTGTCCCATCTGTGTTGTAGGAGCGACAGCGTCTGGAGACGATTCTCAGCCTGTGTGCCGAGTTCACCAAGCCCGAGGGCCGACTGTCCACCGGCACCACTGTGGCGGATGTGCAGAAGATCAACAAGGAGCTGGAGAAGCTGCAGCTCTCTGACGAGGAGTCTGTGTTTGAAGAAACCTTGATGAACCCCGATCCGAGGTTCCGGAGCCCCCAGAACGGCTCGCTCCACGATTCGGACGTGGCCAGCCTGGGAAGCGTCAGCCAGAGCAGCGCCAGCTTCCTGTCCTCCAGGAGCGTCCGAAGTGATGACCCGTTCCCTGACCTCAACAGGACGTTCCCACTCCCTCCTTCTGCCTTCCGGAAAGCTTCCAGCGAGTCTGCTTATCTGAGCATTGTGCCAAAGGTAATGTTGGCAGAGCCAAAGCCGACGAAGCTGTTGGATGGATCGGGGCCGTGCATAGGCACTAGAAAGAAATGAGAGCGTGTATCATGGTGGTCATCTACATTGCTTTTTGGTGAACATCAGCACATTTGCCTGCTTACCACGAGTAAGCACATTACGCTGGAGTATATAGGTAATTAAGCAGGGCTTCTGTAACAGAAATACCACAGGTTGATGGCTTCTGAGACACCAGCTTATTCTCTCGCAGTTTGGGAGGTGGCTGCCCACCCCCAGGGCATCAGCACTAGGGCAAGGCTTTCTCTCGACGCTGGCAGGAGGGGAAAGTCCTGTCCCCTTTCCGCACCTGCAGTCCTGGCATTCCTTGGGGATCCCCAAGTATCTTGGCATCAGGTTTCCCATCGGTCTGGTAGGTTCTCGGCTCAGGGGCTTCAGGTTCAAAGGACAAGCTCCGTTCCCAGCCCTTTTTCTTGAGGTCGTGAGGACCCTCCGGTTCCTGCTCATTTGTTTAATCTCTTATATCTCAAAAGAAGCGGACGCAAGGTAGAACCTAATCCCGTAGCTTGTATCCCACCTTATTATCATCAGTGCCTCACATCCTGCCTCATTAGCATGAGAGAGGATTTCAGTAATCCATAGGGTAATCACATTCGATTACCAAGTGGAGACTAAGAATACTGAGAATCATGACCTAGCTAAGTGGATACGTGTTTGGGGGAGGGAATTCAATCTATAACAGTAGGGTTGTTGTTGTTCAATAGTAGGGTTGTTGTGGTGGTGGTTAGGTGCCATCAAGTCTAGTCGGTTCTGACCTACCACGACCTTACACACAAACAGAATGAAACCCTGCGCAGTCCTGTGCCACCCTCACAGTTTGTTCCTGTGCCTGAGCTCATTGTTGCAGCCACTCTGTCAGCCCGTCTCCTTGAGGACCTTCCTCTTTGTCGCTGCCCCTCACTTTACCAAACACGATGTCTCTCTCCAGGGACTGGTCTCTCCTGACAGCATGTCCAAAAGATGTAAGAAGAACTCTTGCCATTCCTGCCTCTAAGGAGGGTAGAGGGGGAGAAAAAGAGTCAGACTGCTTCTTCCCTCCAGGGTGTACAACTGAGAGTTGAACAAAGTTAAAAGCCCCCTGTGTGCCTTCTAGATGTTCTCTGTGCTTTTACAGCCATGCAGTATAGGCACATCCCTCAACAACCCAGTTGCTGTCCAATCCGTTCTGTCTTCTTATAAGCTCGTGTGTGTCCGAAAAGCACTGTGCTATGTAAGGTTTTCAGTGGCTGACATTCTGGAAGTCATTCAGGTTCCAGTCTTTCAGTTAGCAGCCGAGCTCGTGATCCATTTGCGTGATCCAGAGACAGACACATGTCAACGTCCTCAATGATCTGACTTGATTTCTTTTTCCTCGCCTCTTGAGCTCACCTGTCATATATATCAGGGCTCTGGACCACTCCATCCTTGCTCATCAACCCATTCCCTCATTTCCTGAGGGTTTTTAGAAATGTGTCCGATAGATGGGGATTTACATTTCAGACCACCAACTTTGTATTCAACAGTTCAGCCCCCCAGTAGCACCCGCCCCCACCCTGCACAGTGGACGCCTCCCCAGCTCCTTGATTCCTCTTCTCCTTCCTGTGGATCCCTAGCTTTCCCTTCGCCCACGTTCATTCCCGGTCGCCTTCTCATCGATTGCTTTATTTTCCTTTCCTTGTAATGGCCTTGTTTGTCTTAAAAACAAAAAACAACAGTTGCTGTCTAGCTATTGACTCAGAGTGACCCCAGATGTGGCAAGAGTCAGAACTGTGCTCTCAGGGTTTTCAGTGACGAATGTTTCTGAAATAGTTTGCCAGGCCTTTCTTCTGAGATACCCCTGGGTAGACTCGAACCCCCAACCTTTCCATGAGCAGTTGAGTTCTTTAACCATTTGTAACATCAGGGACTCCCTCAGTGACTAGATCACCCCTCTTGGTGACCACACCATTGTGACTGTTAATTGCTCAAATATGCTGGGCGAGGAGGCCTCTGAAGTTGAGCGTGGCCATGCTGGTTGAGTGGAATGATCTCCTGCGCTTTTGGAAGCTGCCTCCTCTGACCTCAAGGCAGGAGAGAGAAGTTTTAAAAGAATCCAGTAAATAAAGATATGGCCATGGAGATACTCTTCTTCCTGGAGGAACGAGGACACTGCAGTCTTGCTCAGCAGCGTAGCATGTGTGCCATTAATGACGCAGGGCCAGTGAGTCAGCGGACAAGACTCCGGGCTGATTTAATGAAACAAAGATTTTAATATTTAGGAAACCTCTAGGAGCCCTGGTGGGTGACGCAGCAGTTGCGCCTTGGGCTACTGACCACAAGGTCGTTTCGAAACTGCCAGCCACTCTGAGAGAGAAAGATGAGGCTTTCTTCTCCCATAAAGATTGAGTCTTGGAAACCCACAGGAGCAGTTCTGTTCTGCCCTGTAGGCTCACTATGAGTTGGAATCAACTCATTGTCAGCGAGTTTGGTTTTTGAGTTTACACATTTAGGTGTCTGGAAATTTAGCTTATTTGACTGGCTCTTTGTCAATCTACAACTACCTGCGGTACAAGCTGACTTTAGACCAGTTCACACTTCTCTTCTGGGTAATTGTTCCCTCTGGAGTGGAAAGCCCCGCACCCCATTTCCTTTGGATACAGGAGGTCTTTAAGAAAGGATGTACAGAGCAACACTGACAACAGAGCCAGACAGGCGGAGGGGGTCGCTCCCCGCCTCCCTCTCCCCTTTCTCCTGGGGGTCATGGTACCTCAGTGATGGCATAACTGGGATGCACATGGAGCTTTAAAGTGCTTACCACAGCGTGTCGCTGCGCCAGTGGATTCCCACCCATCCTTGTGAGAAACAGTTGCTTGCAACTCTATTTATTCCTACTGTCGCCGGCCTCGTTGAGGTCACAGAACTGAGCGTCACAGGGTTGTGATGGCCGATGACTTAGAATCGATCACCAAGGCTTTCTTCCAAGGTGTCACTGTGTAGATTCTAACTTGCAACCTCGTCGTCAGCAGCCATGCACGTGCTAAATATTTGCACCTCCCAGGCTCTCCTGCTGTGAGAAGTTCTCCTAAGAGTTCCACTGAAGGGACTATTTTATTTTAATCTCAACTCTCTCTGTCACCAGAACACTGAAGTCTTGTCAGTCGATGGTATATCCCAGGCTTTCTATTCGCATTCATTCTTTAGTGAACTAGTGTTGATCAAAGGACCTTCACCCCTTTCCACTACAAACCAATGATGTGGACTACTTCTTGGAGTTTGTGTGTTATAGGTAGTAGCTAAAGGAATAAGCACAATCGTTTCCTGGATGGCATCATTGCTAAAGAGAGCCTCTTAGACTATTATTAAAGATGTAGGCCTGTTGGGTAGGACCGAAAGAACCCTGGTGGCTTTAGCACCAGACTGCTGACTACAAGGTCTGTCAGCAGCTCACACCCGTGCAAACTTTCTCTGATGCCAAATTACGCAGTGTTGTTCTGGTTGAACGACTGCCTCTCGGTCCCTGTGCAGGTTCCGCATGAGCCCAGTTAAATGTTCTGAAGTTCCCCTTCTTCACAAGATGGTTTGTTATGATCAGAACCAGTCCAGTCCTTTCACATCATCAATAAATAGAAGTAAACCTCTTTTTGGTGTTCTCTGCTTTCAGCCAAGATCCATTTGATGTCTGCTGCACTACCCCTTGTTCCATGTGCTCTTCTGAATGCAGCTTCAATTTCTGACATCGCCCAGCTGATGTTCTGCTGAAACCATTTAAAAATCATCTTCAGCAAAATTGTCTTTGTTTGTGAGATTAATGATATTTTGGGATAGTTGCCATACTTTGTTGGACCACATGTGTTTGGAATGGGCACAATTAATCTTTTTGTTGGCTGCAGATACTCATAATGTCCGCTATTACCTGTCTACTTACAAAGTTTATAGCTTGTAGGTTGTTTGCTTGTTGTTTTCTAATCCCCTGCTTCCACCAGTGGGAGGTATATTCTTAAACCACATTGCCCGTTGGAACTCAATATGTAATGCCACCACTGGCCCCCTCAGGATGCTGGGCCTTCAGGAGGCTTTCCTGCTAGGCTTCTGGAATGCCATTCCCGGTCCACTGGCATTCCTCCGGGCCTCAAACAGGCAGCTAAGTCCTGGGACAATGGGATCCATTGTCTGTGATGAAAAGTTCACAGGCTGTTTTATTAGTTGATGAGCTACTGGCTTTAAGATGACAAATGAAAAGCGAAATGCCATAGCTTAGGGGGCTGCATACCATTAATACTCTAGATCATGCCACTCCTGAAAGACTGGCAAAGTAGGGCAAGAATGAAGTATATCCGAAAATTCTTCAGTACTTTCGGTGACTTTAATAAGGGACACCAAATTGTTCCGGGTTTAATTTGAATATTCCTGTCTATAATTAGTGAGTCCCCTTTAATCATTGACTTGCCTGGGCTACTGTTGTCAATTTTCAATTGTGAAATGCTATAGTTATTGCAGATCAAAAAAAATTTATTTCTTTGCAAGTTAAATATGAGCTAAATAAGTGATATGTCTTTACTGATAGTCTTTACATTTAAAGCAGGTAGCTTAACAGGAACACAACCACCATCAGATGATATCCCAGATAAGTAGACCGAGATTCTTGGATGGAGAGACGATTTCCAGACTCTCTACCCTCTTCCATAATAAAACCAGCTGTCGTGAAGTCACTTTCCACTCGGGGCGCCTCCATGAGGGTTCAGGGGGCCTCTCTTAGACAAGAAGCAGTTCCATCTGCGTAGAGGAGATCAGCGACCATATCCATTTCTTCCCTGGACCTTTGTCATTCTCGGGTTGCAGGTCTAAATATTCCCTCGCCCCTTTAATCTCTTTCTTGTTAAGGCCAAGGAACGCAGCTATTCCATAAGATAATTTTAACCGAGGGTGGTCAGGGTCCAGTTTCAGATCCCCAATGGCCAGGTGGCACCACCACGAGGGTCTGACATTACAGAGTTACCAGGTGAGAAAGTGAAACAGGGATTAAGGAACTTAACATGGAATGTGTCGCACTTAAATTATTTTGAGGATTACCTAAATGAGAAAGCCTATATATTTTTTCTAGTTACTAACGCTGTGAAACATTTCAGGGAAGCAGGGCCAAGTGCAGTGTGTCCTTGATTTTCAACCTTGTGTTGAGGAAGAAAATAATAAGCATGAATGCCCATGGGCAGATCTTCCCAGCAGTCAGAGCCAATACCATGCGAAGATGTTCAAGAGTGTTTGGAAAGAGATTGCTCATTTCTAAATGGGAGGTAGTGTGGAGCTTCTGATGAAGAGGTAGCCCGGTGCCCAAGCGTTCTCTGTCTAGCGTAGAGTTCTATGGAGCTGAATGCTCTCTAGCCTGGCTGAATTACTTCAGTTTCCCTGGGCCGCACCGTCCTCATCTTTTTAATCACAAATATGAATCTGCGAATGAAGGTGTTCGTATGAGCCAGTCTAGGAACCTAACTTCAGAGTCTGATACGGTCTCGGAAATATGCACTCAGGCTCCAACTACACTATCACAGATGGGCATGGAGCCTGTGAAATACGAAGCCCGCGGCTGGTGTGTGAGTTGGGAAATATTGCCATGGAATGGGGAATAACCCTTGACTGTGTTGATTGATCTCAGCTCCCAGAGAGTCTCGGTGACGAGCAGAGGATTCAGGAGTTGGCCACGATGGAAGAAACCCGGATGGTCATTCTGAACAACCTTGAGGAACTGAAACAAAAGATCAAGGATATAAATGACCAAATGGATGAATCTTCCCGAGAGGTATAAACCATAAGTCGAGTCCTCCCCCACCCCCCATCTCCATTTTCCATCTGTCCTTTAATTTAAAAAACATCGACTCTCTTCAGGCCCTGGGCTTTGGAAGCTCATCACATCGCTGTTAGCATGAGCAAACCTTTTTTGAACGGATACCTTGTGTAATGCAAGTGCCTTTTTTGTTTTTAACATTTGTTTCTCTTTTTTGGAAATCGGGTGAGGTATCCGTGTTAAGCCTTTTAAACTGACGGTGAACCGTAACAAAGCATCTGTTATTGCAACGAGTATGATTTAGTGACATTAATTTGATTCATCACGTTGTGCTTCCAATGCTGTTAATCCCCTTTCATCACCCTTAACAGCTTAAGCTGAGTGTCTCTGACACACTGAGTCCCCCCTTGCCCCTTCCTTAGGTCTCTATGCACCTTTCCATATAAGTGGAATCATGCAGAATTTGTCCTGTTTTAATGAATCTCAGTCAGCGTGACGTTTTCAAGGCTAATCCATGCGGAAGCACGCATCAGAGCGGCGTTTCTCTGGGCTAGTCCCGCTCCGTCGTGTATGTGTTTTGCCTTTTGAGTGCCGGTTGATTTGTTGCTGGCCACGTGGGCTCCTTCCTTCTTGTGGCTGCTGTGGCTGTTGCTGCCGTGAACACCGGGTGCACGTGTCCGCTCACATGCCCACCTTCCTTTCATTGGGGCATATCCCAAGAGTGGAAGTGCTGGGTCAGATGGGAATTCTGTGTCTGTTTGAGAAAACACCTTTTGTTTTCAATGGTGGCTGTACCATTTCACAATCCCACCAGCAACGGATGAAGTTTCCTATCTTTTCACATTCTTACCTGCACCAGTTGTTTTTCTTTTTTACTTTTATTTTTAATTCTGGCCATCTCATTTTAACTTTGATTTGCATTTCAATCGTGACTGATTATATTGAGCATATTTTAAAGTTTGTTGGAAAGTCGCCTATCTTTATATCCTTGGCCCATATAGCCACCGATGGGGTCGTTTGTCTTTTTATTGTTGAGCTGTATGTGAAAGTCATTTTTTAATGAACTTAATGTCTATTGGGGTTTGTCTTAACAAATACCTATTTTCCATCGAGCATGCTCTGCAAGGTCTGTCAGCTGAGGGACCCTGGCTTGGGGTATTTAATATTTAAGATCGAGTCCAACAAACATTTTAAAACGGAACTCGCTTACTATGCCCCAGCTGTCATGCCGGCCCTGTAGAGAAATTCACACATGAATGACAGACGTGGAGGCTCCGCCTTTTATAGGTTTGGAAACTGGAAAGCAGACACGGCCTTTTACAACTGTGATTGAGGGAGAGCAGTGGCAATTCTTTGATCGCTTCTATAGAGTGGGGAGAAGCACATGATTCTGCCTCGGGCGGAGCTAGAGGTGGCTGCATAGCTATATCACAGATGACGCCGACAGCTCCATCAGGGGCCAAGGGGCTGCTCACCTGTCGTCTTACACACAGGCGTCGGAAGCCCCTCCTGCCGGCATTGCTAGGAGCACAGGCCTCGCATGCTGGGCTCTGCGTATAATGCTCCCTTCTCTTGGTCTGGAGACGGAGGAAGACATGGATGCTCCCTGGATGGGTTATCCTTCAGTCTGAGAGAGCCTAAGACAAGAAGAAAAGTACCATTGAGAAGTGCCCGGAAATGGGGCTATAGGAGAAAAATTTAATGATAACTCAGTTTCTTAGCAAAGCTATTCCAACTCTCTCGCTTTCTTATAGAAGTCGCGAGTCTCACGTGACTTTCTGGGATACCGTCCAGAAGACGACGGACCAGCGTTGCTTTTAAAAATTTGTAGCTACTAAAAATGCACCTCTTAGGAGGAAACGCGTTTCTGAACTCTGCTTTGTATTCTCAGTTGGATTTGGAATGTGCGCTTTTGGATGGAGAACAGAAATCTGAAACAACTGAACTTATGAAGGAGAAGGAGATTCTGGATCACCTGAACCAGAAAATCACAGAACTGGAGAAAAACATCGTGGGTGAAAAGACCAAGGTAAAGAGACTTTAATCCCACTGTACCTTTTGGGGTACAGTGGAGGGTGCTGAGTGAGTGTAAGGTTGAGTGAAACTACCATGCTTGTGGGCTCCTCGGTCATGTTCCTGACGACGGTGGCACCAGAGGGAAGGTAAGACCAGGTGAGCCGTCGCTAGTGGAGGGTTATGAGGTCTTGAGCAGTAATATTCCAGCAGGCTGGAAGAGCAGAGTGCCTATCAATGGTGAGCTGATAGTCATGGCAGCATCTCATACTCAAGACGAATGAGTTGCTTTTTTCCCCAATAGCTTTTCTGTCTTTGCTCTTGGTGCCCGGGAAGGATGAGTTAAGCAGATTCAAATATGGTTCCCTCTTGTCATGTCTCTGTTTATTGAAAAGGTGAGTGGGGGCCATTCCTCTCTGCCGTCCAGCCTTGTCATTGTCTTCAATGCGAGTGCCCTGCTGTCTGAAAAATGCACTGATGTCTTGGGAGGATCTTCACACACTGCCAAGTGCAAACTGCCTGGAAGCCCCAGCTGACACTGACACTGGAAAGGCTTTACTTACACCTGCAGGCCACAGTCTGAATGTTAGCCGAGCGCTGTTAAAGAGTGTAGGAAACATCACTTGCCGTTCTTGGAATTCGAGGTGGAGGTTGGGTTTTGCATCTTTTTACTTTTTACTTTCTCCGGGACATGCTCTATTATTACTCCCCTTTCCCATTCGGAGTTAGTGCTAACTGAAATAAGCGTACAAGAAACAAAATTGGATATGAAATGTGCACTTTGGGATGGTTTAGGATAGAAAAAGCAAGTGAGTTTTGCTACATCCTACCTTCTTCCCCATGTTTTCCATGAAGCTGAGAAAGTAGAAAACAGTTTCATCCTAAGCAGTTTCTAGTGGTGATGGGTGTAAATAATGTCTGATAGATGCGGCTTCCTTTTTAGGCTCTGTTTTGTTCATAGCCTATAAATAAGAGCATTTGATCCAGTGCCAGAGAATGAGCTCAAAGTGACATTGTGGGAAATGGAAGTCACGTTGAAAACGACACATTGATCTCCTGGCGGCCTGCTTGTCGACATTTAAGCTGCAGGTCTTTTGCACGTGAACTTTTATGAATGCTCGCTCTCTCTCCAGACTTTAAAAGAGTAAAGCGCCCTTTTGGACAGGAGAAATGTTTGTGTTTTAAAACTCAAAGCCATGTTAAAGGCTTGGCTTTCTCGTTCTGCCTGGTAGGAAGAGCCAAGAAACCACTAAGGCTTTGGAAAGAGTCTGTACTGATAACAGCAAGCAGCTTTCGTTAGAGGCATCTGACGTCTTGTCTCAGTCCTGGTTAGTGTTACACCCTTTATGTCATGCTGGACAACTTGTGGGACAGAGACCTGAAGTCGCACCTTCCTGTGAGTCCTTTCCACCTTCCTCACCCACGCAGTTACTTTATCTTTGTGAGCAGACATATTGGATAGCCTATACGGGATTGCAGCCCTCAGTTTGGATTGCAACTCAGTGTACAGAGAACAGAAATCCTCACAACTGGACCAATAGGAAACATTACGATAAGTGGAAAAAAGATCGAAGTTGTCGAGTGTGTGATCTTAACTTCGATCCAGAACCCATGCTCGTGGAAACCGCAGTCAAGCGCTCCGCCGATGAGTTGCATTGGGTCCATCTGCTGCCGAAGACCTCTTCGCAGTGTTGAAAAGCAAGGAAGGTACTTTGAGAGCTCAGGGACCCTAACTCAAACCATGATGTTTTTCAATCGCCTCAAATGCTTGTGAAAGTTGGACCTTGAAGAAGGCAGACCGAAGGAAAAATGATGCATTTGAACTGTGGTATTGGCAGAGAATATTGGAAATACCATGGGCTGCCCAATGGACAAACACATCTGTCTTGGGAAAAATATAGCCAGAATGCTTCTAGAAGCAAAGACGGTGAGACCTCATCTCACGTTCTCTGGGCCTGTCATCAGGAGGAGGTCATCATGCTTGGTAAAGTGGGGGGCCAGCAAGAAGGAAGAAGGCCCTCACAAGATGGATGGACCCAGTGGCTGCAGCAATGGGTTCCAACATGAAGCAACTATGAGAATGGAGCAGGCCTGGGCGGTGTTTTGTTCTGCTGAGCACAGTGTCTCTGGGTATCCATGGCACCTTAACAACAACATTGTCTGTGTTTCGGGCTGTCATCAGCATCTAACGGGACGCAGGAGTGACTCGAGTCAAATCACTGCTGAGGCTCACTGGGCAGGGGGAGTTGTGTTCGATTCTCTAGGCTTGAGGCAGGCATCAGCCTCCAGGAACCTGCAAGACTCAAGTAAGGAAGCCACCTCCATCTTCCCTTGCTATTGTTTTGGCAACTTGCTGGAGGCCCTCTCTGGGGGAGGGCTCTGTTGGCAGCATGGGTTTTAGAATGAGCTCCTGCAGCTGCTAGAGGATTACTTGGTCTCGACAGGTGGGATCGTTCTCATTATAATGGATGAAAGATGGCAGAAACACACTTGGGGTGAGCGATCTAGAGGAGGATAAGGGCAGTAGAAAATAGGAGGAGGGCTGGAAGTGGTACTCCGTCATTTTGACCCTCAAGCTCAAGTAGAGAGCAAATGCTGCGTGACAGTGCCTCTGTGTTTCTTAGATAAAATTATTATTTTATGGCACAGATAGCTCACACCTTCACTCTGCTCAGACCTCTAGCCGCCTCTCCCAAGGGCTCTGAGGTGAGCCCGTAGCCTACTCACCTGAAAACTTCTCACCACCAAGGACGGCTTTCTTCCCATCAGAGATCTTTGCACTTGCTGTGCGTGTCATCCCGCCCCACCTTTACACGGTCTTCAGTCCTCCGATCTTCCACACCAACCTTATTCTGAAAAATCATCTTTAGTTTTTCAAAATACAAGTCAATAAACTTCCTGCCAGCTGCCTCCTCCTCTCTCTTCCCTTGATCGCAGCCAAACAATGCGCTTTGAATGCAGTGCATCCCAACCAACGATTCCTTCCATCCCACTTAACTTAGGCTGGGCTAGTCTATCAACATGCTCTTCAGACTGCGAAAGGCCTGCATGTCGCCTACCCCCATGGTGCTTTTCAGCCCTCACCTGCCCTCACCCTGCTCTTGAGCAGCCTGCATTATTGGGGATGACCTTCCCAGCTCTGCCCTTGGCCTCTGTGCACCGCGTTCTGTGGGGATTCTTTCTCTTCTTGTTTCCTTTGCTCGTTCCTCAGCCTCTGTCCATTCACTTGTATTTGTCTCAGATCGGTGCCCTCTTCTCTCATATCTTCACATTCTTTCACAGTGACCTTTATGTGCTGGTGACTCTGAAACGCCTACTTCTCATCCAAACCCTTTTCTGAACTCCTGACTCATATCCTGTGCCCTAGCCGGCATCTCCACCCAGGTATTGCACAGGTATTTCCATGTGGACACACCCATGACTGAACCTTGACTTTCTCTTTCCCCTTGCCACTGTGCCTTGAGTTTCCCCTACTCAGGAAGGTGCCAGGTAGATGCTCAGACAGGAAACCTGGAAGTCAGTTATGAACCTTCTTTTTCCAGAACCCCATAATCCAGTTGATTAGCAAAATGCTTCTCAATTACCTCAACTTCCTACATCTCCACTGACAGCTTTCTCCGGTAAAGCACTCTAGTCGCTTATTCAGTCCCGTTTGGTCCCTTTTCGATAATACATTCTCTACACAGCAGCCAGGGTAACTTAGACAGCCAGCCATCTGTCTGTCTGTCTGTCTGTCTGTCTGTCTGTCTGTCTGTCTATCTATCTATCTATCTATCTATCTATCTATCTATCTATCTATCTATCTGTCTGTCTCTATTTCACGCAGATCTCTCATCTTTCTCTCTTCCTGTAGCTGATGGTTTTGAAGTGCTAACCTTGCAGTTAACAGCCCAACTTGTAACCACGCCACCACCAGGAGATATGTACACACACACACACACACACACCTCTTTTTTCGTCCCACCATACTTTGAATAAAATCTGAATTTCTTACCATGGTCAGTTTCACACCACCTGCACATTGGCCAGCTTTCTACTTTTTAAAAAGATCCGTCCTAACCCTCACATTTCTCTGTAGATATGGTTCTGCCCGGATTCCCCCCACCCCCACCCCATATTCCACGTGTGTCTGGGCTTTCAGGGCTCAGACTTGCTCAGTGACACTCCTCAGCAAAGCCCAACCAGTTTATGTTCTCCCTGTTCGTTTCCTCTTTTACATAGCAGATTGTGGGATTTGTGTTTGTTGTGGTACTTATTCTGCATTCACCTGCTTCTCTAACCTGTAAAATCTAAAAGGGCAATATATTATGATCATTGATCCAGCCTTAGTAGCTGATAGAGGAGCCCTGTTGGCGTAGCGGTTACACTTTGGGCTTCAATTCTCAAGGTCAGAAGTTCAAAACTACCAGCTGCTCCTTGGGAGAAGAACAGGGCTGTTTACTACTGCAAAGAGAGTACTCAGAAACCCACCTGGGCAGTTCTAACTTGTCCTAAAGGGTCACTATGAGCCAGCATTGACTCAACGGCAGTCAGTTTGGTTTTGGAGTAGGTGTTAAAAATACTGCGCAGCATGGAGCAACATATCAACCTGTGTGATCACGAGGTGTTGAATGGATCACTGAAGACAAATGGGTGCATAAATAAATGTGGCGAAGAAAGCTGATGGTGCCAAGCTATCAAAAAGTATAGCGTCTGGGGTCTTAAAGGCTTGAAGGTAATCAAGCGACCATCAAGCTCAGAAGCAACAAACCCCACATGGAAGAAGCACACCAGCCTATGCAACCACGAGGTGTCAAAGGGATCAGGTGTAAGGCATCATCAGAACAAAATATCTTACCATAGTGAATGATGGGGGGAGTGCGGAGTGGAGATCCAAAGCCCATTAGTAGGCCACTGGAGATCCCCTTGCAGAGGGGTATCGGGGAGGAGATGAGCCAGTCAGGGTGCGATGTGACAACGATGAGAAATACAACTTTCCTCTAGTTCCTAAATGTTTCCTCCCGCTCCCACTACCAT